TTGTTATTGTGCCATATCTGTATGCCTTTAAGTTCTTAAGAAATGCACCCCACCCCCTGCGGCTTCCATAGATAAGTGAAAAAAGGAACTCTCTTATGGTACAGGAGCCAGGTAGTCCAGGGCTGGTCAGATGGCACTCCTGACACCGGCATTCAGCTTTGCTCTTGCTTCCATCACAGCTCTCTCAATGCATGGCTTTTAGTTTTGAAAGATACCTTCTAAAGTTAGGAACATGTATCTGCGCTGGAGGAGGGGGATGAATGCTTGTCTCCGAGTAGTCTCCTACAAAGAGTGTTGTTAGATGACCTGCCCAAAGTCTTCCTGGACTTTTGTTGGCTATTTATTCTACAAGAGAATATGGGAACAGAGCCTCTGCTTTAAAGTCATGAGCTATTAGCTGGGTGTGATGGTTTACAGCTGTAGTCTCCGCTATTCTGGAGGCTGAGATAAGGGGACTTCTGAAGTTCAGGAGACTGAAAGCAGTCTGGGAAACATACCAAGATTGCCTCTCTCACAACAAAAAGGCACCATGCTGTACTTCCACCTCCTCAGGACAGAAGGAAGTAGAGGATGGATATCAGATAAGCATGATTGTGGATTGTGGAGAGCTAAAAGTGATGGTAAAAACTTCACAAATAAATTACTTACATGGAAAATTTTGAGGTTGATTATCTATTATCTATCTATCTATCTATCTATCTATCTATCTATCTATCTATCTATCTATCTATCTATCTATCTATTTGACACAGGGTCTCATGAAGACCAAGCTGGCCTTGAACTCACTAATATAGCAGAAAGTGGCTTTGAAAACCAGATGCTCCTGCTTCTACCACTTGAGTGCTGGGATTTCAGGTGTGTGTCACCAGGGTCAGCTGATTGAACTTGCAGCATAGTTACATCTCCCCATAGATCCAAAAAAGCCAGAAGACACATCTTCATGTAAACTCTCTGCATTCTTCAAGTCAATGTTGTTTTAATATGGACTGGACATTAGAGTAACTGAAGGGTCGTTTACAGTGAACACCACTTTACTCAGGAGAAAACACCAAAGGGTTCCCAAATAAGCAGCATTCTATCAATTCCCTACCAATCCTTCTAAGGACCAGCATCATTACCAGGATCAAGATTAATGTGAGGAGCTGTAATAAGAAAAGACTAAACTGGCCGTGGTGGCTCACAATTTTAATCCCAACATTCAGGAGGCAGAGGCAGAGGCAGAGGTAGGCAGATCTCTGTGAGTTTGAGGACAGCCTGGTCTACAGAGTGAGTTCCAGAACAGCCAGAGCTGTTACACAGAGAAACTCTGTCTCAAACAAAAACAAACAAAAAACAAAAAAAAAAAAAGAAAGAAAAAGAAAATAAAAGCTTAAAGTGGTGAAAAACACCACCAGGCCCAGTACTTGTAAGACAGTCAGGAAGAAATTCAAAGTCAGTCTGGGCAATATAGCAAGACTCTGTCAAAAAAGAAAAGAAAAGAAAAGAAAAAGAAAGAAAGAAAGAAAGAAAGAAAGAAAGAAAGAAAGAAAGAAAGAAAGAAAGAAAGAAGACGACGCAGGGTAGGGGTGGGGAGGAAGAGGATGGAGAGCTGACTCAGTAGTTAAGAGCACTTGCTGTTCTTTCAGAAGACCTGAGTTTGGTTCCTAGCCCCCACATCGAGTGGTTCACAAAGCACCTATAACTCCAGCTCTGAAGGCTTCAGGCACCCTCTTCTTACCTCTGCAGGTATGCACGAGAAAAAAAATAAAACAAATCTTTAAAAGAAGGGGATGAAGAGGAGCCCGAGGAGACAGGACAACTGAATGTAATGTGGGGACAGAAATAGTCTTTAGGGAAAATCAGAGGAAGCCCCAGTGAAGCAGAACAGTAGCTGACCAGAATGTACAGTATTGATTACTTGTGACAAATGTCCTGTGTCGGTGTGAACTGTAAAGAGGGAAGATGGAGTGTGAGGTCTGTGGAAGAAGCACTGCGCCATCTCTGCAAGATCTCTCCAAATCTACAAGTGTTCTCAAAGCCAACAAAATGTGAGAACCAAATACTGATGTCTAGGGCCCTTCCTAGACAAAGCAAAGCACAGTCTCCAGCGAGGATGGACTAGAGATGGAGCCATGGCTTGGGAAGTCTCTCAGGAGGTTCTGATGTGCAGTGGGGGCTGCAGGTCGGAGCCTTACATGTGGTACCCGGTTCCTGTGTTTTAGAAGAGAGGGATGGTAAAAGAACACACCTGTGGGGCCATATGGGACCCGTCACCACCAATTTGGGAATTCTGTTCTACACTTTCAAGAAAATTACAGTATAGTTAAGGATAAGTATGTGTAATCAAACACACAGGCAAGGATTGAAATTTGCACAGCGTAGGAGTCCTGAAGAGACATCAGTGCTTCTAGTGAGAGAGGAAAGTGCAGTGGTCCATGGAAGACAGGCCATAGCTGTGAGCCTTTGCCTGATGTTTTTCCGCCGATGGCCACTTTTCTTCTCTTTCATGTTGTCAGTTGTTATTGTCCTGTGGAATTTGCCCAAGAAAGCAAATACAGCTTTGTCAGGGTGAAGCTGGATTAAACCCTTTAAACAGCACTCGTTTCACCAGCAGGTTGCTATCACCTCGGTGCTTTGGTAGAAATTCAGACTCCCAGGCCACATCCTAGAACTACTGAACCGGCATCTGCATTTCAATAGGATGTCCAGAAGTACTAAAGCAGAGAAGCCTTCCATAAACCAGTGAGATCAGGAGCCCATGCCAACGCTGATCAGGTTCTGTGAAAACAGGAGAAAAAGAGCAAGAGCTTAGCCATGAGTGACAGACCCTCTCCAAGGCTGGAGATGGGTGCAGGGATGAGTGGACAGTCTTGTGGCATCCAGAAAGTCTGGGCAGATTCAGTGTGTCTCCATACATTTTGGGGAGAGGGTGCAACATGTGATATAATCACACCCAACATGACCCAACTACAGCAGAGAGAACTGACAGAGGATGAGTCCAAATACATGGACTCAAGCAGGGGCCCAGATGTCTACAGCCTGTACCTGATATTGAGAACATTCCACACTCCAGAAAGCACAGCACAGCACAGGGATGTTAAAGGACTGAGAGTTGGTGGACCAGAGAAGTCTCCTGGGCTCAGCACGAGAGCCTGAAGAATCTTTCTGAATCTGAGATGCCAGAGGCTGTGAGTTTATGCAGCTGGTAGGAACACAAGCCTAAAGTGAACAGTTACTGGGTCAGGGTAGTTAGGTGACGCTTTGCTCAACAAAGCCAGGGAAGTCACCAAAGCACATCACTGCAATGATAATTCCCCTGGATTCAAATGCCTGGGAATTGCTGGGGTGTGCATGCTCCTAAAAGAAAAGAAGGAAGGGCCAGGTGGTGGTGGCACACACCTTTAATCCCAGCACTAGGGAGGCAGAGCCAGGTGGATTTCTATGAGTTCGAGGCCAGCCTGGTCTACAAAGTGAGTTCCAGGACTGGCTCCAAAGCTACACCAAGAAACCCTGTCTCAAAACAAACAAACAAACAAACAAAAGAAAAGAAAAGAAGGAAGGAAGGAGAAGATAGGAAGGAAGGGGGAGGCAGAAGAGAGGGAGGGAGGAAAGGAGTCTCATGAGAAGTTGGAACCTTTCCTATCTCTCTGAAAATAAGAGTTTTAGACTTAATGAGACTGAATAACTTTTAATTGGCACGTTGGGGTGCTCCAGCTACAAAGCCCCCATCATGCCAGGAATAATAGAAGGGGGAGGAAATAAACAAGGCCCTATCTTTGGGTTGATCTGAGGGAATAGCATGCCTTTCCTCTTCTGAGTTAGGAAGGATTTATGGGGATGGGAAGCTTGCACTAGGGTTAAAAGGTGAGAGGCATTTGTCAGGAGGATGGGAGGGCAAAGGAGGGTATTCCGGTCAAGGCACAGGGCTGTAAATAGCCGCATGGGTGGAAAAGAAGCCAGGCTTTTGTGGCAAAGAAGAAACACAGGGTGGGTAGGGTCAGGTCTTGGAGGTTTTTGGATGCCAGGCTATATGGATTGCATGTTTTGGTCAGTTACGGCAAGGGGGATAGGCACGGTGGGATTTTTAAGTATTCTAGGGTTTCAGAATTAGCATTCTGACACCAGTGTGGAAGCAAACAGGGGTGGGGGTGGGGGGATGCTGGAGGCGGAGACCTGTTGAGAGGTTAATAGATGGGGAAGGAATTACACAAAGATGGAGGGAAAGGGTTAGGTGTCTCTGCTGGGTCACTAAGATGAGCTGTCAGTGAGCAAGCAAGGGGAAGCTGGGACTCCACAGGGTTGGTGCCACCATCTGCTCTGAACAACCCTTTCCGCTGGGTAGCGAGGCATTTCCTCAAAGTGCTGTGTGAGCATTCCTACCTTAAGTATTTTGGAGATTTGCAGTTGGGGGAAGTGAGGTGACATACCAAAATGATGATTATTTTGTATATACAAAAGAATGTTAACAATGCTTTTCACTACGGACACGTTGCTTTGGGGAAGATAGCCCCACCCTCCAGATGGTGTATTTAGTCCATTTACCTGCACACAGTCCCAGCACATTGTATTTTATGACATAAATCCACTTTAGCTGACTAAAAGCATGAGAGACTATAGAGTCTATTCGATTATATACAGTAAATCCATGAGGTGAGAAGCACCACACTCGGAGGGTTTGGGTCCAGTGAAGAAGCATGGAGGAGCGACCTCAGCAGCTTTGGTGGGAGTAAGCCAAGGGAAACACCCATCTTGGTACAGTTGTGGTACTGCCTCATTGGGAAGAGCACTAACCAATTGGTACTAACTTACCATTGGGAAGTCCCTAACTACACTATCTTATAGTTTTTGGCTATTCCTTATTGTGCTTAAATTCTGTCTTTAACATTTTTAGTTGTATTTATTCATTCTATTTTATGTGTATGGATTTTTTTTTGCCTGCAGGTATGTATTGCACTGTGCGTGTGCCTGGTGCCTGAGGAGCTCAAAAGAGGGCATTGTATTTCCTGGAACTGGAGTTATAGACGTTTGTAAACCACCGGGTGGGTGACTGGGAATAGCTCCTGGGCCTTCTGCAAGAGCAACCAATTCTTTTAACCACTGAGCCATCTCTCCATCTCCTTTTTCTTTTCTTCTTTTCCTTTCTTTCCTTTTCTTTTTTTAAAGTATATGTATTTATAAGAAACAACTCAAGCTATGTTTGGGTTCAGTTGGCAAATTAAGTGAAGTTTGTGGCCTACCTGGCTTTATCTGCACAGAGACTTAGTCTTTGTAGTGATTTCAACACCC